TGTGATTGGTGGACTGCTGGGCCTGGATTCCTGGGCAAGGATAAATTAAGCACATGGGAAGAGAAGGGCGGAGGGAGCGGGAGGTGGAACCAAGGGGCAGACAGGCTTCTCATTCTTCTGGTTTCTTTTCTGGACCCTTAGCCTTCTGTAACTAGTTCTTATCTATGTAATTGGGATATGGGACAAGGTGAGCTTGACCAACCCTCATGTGTCCATTTAATTATGAATCCCCAGGGAACATGGCGTCTAGATTAGCCTTGTTTCACAGAAAGCGAGTTAATGTGCTTAGCTGGTCAGCCAGTGGGGGACACAATGAACATCCAGGCCAGCATGGGAAGGCCCCCAAGCTATCAGGGACCTTTTTCCTGAAAGCTCTGACATGGGGCAACTGTCAAGCCAAATGCTCTTTGTAAGCTTTGCGGAAATTATGTCAGGGCTAAACTTTCTTTTTCTGGTAGCTCTGTGGAGAACACTACACTATCTCCCCACAATAGCATAAATGTTTTCCCCACAATAGCATAAATGTATGTCTTATCTCTTGAATGCAGCCCAGACAATTAGGAGGAGGCGGAGACTGGGACCAGTCTCATGAGAAAGGCCAAACCCATATTATTTGATACCATCGAAGGGAGGGGATGGCGTGACCAAGAATGACCACAGCACCAAGTCACACATCTTGACAGCTCCTGGTGCAGAGCTCTGCCTGCCTCTTTCTCACCAGTCAGGGTCCTGAGACCTTTGAGGATCTTTGAGATATGAAATGGGAACTATAGTTCGTGGGAGTGCCGAGGAGACTCCAACAATTTGACAGCAGTTTTAAATCACACCCACATTACTGACATTAGGACAGGTAGTGCCTGGTTCCTGCTACCAGGAACTTGATGTTTGTTCTCTTGTTGATTTTCATGTATATTCAAGTACCCACAAGGGTGTTCTTGCTCAAAAATCCCCATTTCTCCTTCTGGTTGAATGATTCATGGAGAATGTTGGCCCAAGTACAGTGCTGTTTCAGGGAAAATGGGCTCTAGGGAGTGAAGAGGGAACACAGATTCCTTGTAAGGCAGCCTGGCATCTGACACCCTCTGTGGAGAGCATGAGTAAGGCGAGGATTAAATGGCTCCTGTTGAATTCCACAGGGTGACATTCTGCACTCCTTCATGTCCTATGTCAGCAGCACACAATGGCTGGGAAGGCAGGATGCTCAATGCTAACAGTTCACCAGACTCAAGGCTGGAAGAAATTTGCAGAAGAATCACTCACGCTCTTTGAGGCACTTCTCTGAAGTTTCACACAAAACTCATCAATTATAAGAATAAATATAAAGCTATCAACCAAACAAATACAGCACACTCAATCCCGAAATTTTCGTTTTGGATGTCAACTAACAAATTTGAAAGGGGATAGAAAAAGCTTTTAAAATTTTGTTTTTTTCAAGACAGGGTTTCTCTGTGTAGCTCTGGCTGTCCTGGAACTAGATCTGCCTACCTCTGCCTCCTGAGTGCTGGGATTAGAGGTGTGCGCCGCCCTGCCTGGCCTTTTAACACTTTTAAATAAACATTTTATCCAAACTACTCTCAAGCCTCCCCTTGGTCCAAACTCCTACCGCCTATTCCAGTTGAAATAAACTTGATTAGTAAATACTGAATATTGTATTTCATAATTTATCACAAAATAATTTTCCTTTCAAACCAATGCTGTTAATCTTAGTTTTTTTTTTTCTATTTACTCATTTATTTTAAAGCTGGGGACTGAGCCTTCACACATGGCAGGCACGTGCACTACCATCAAGCTCTATCTCCACTCCCTTTTAGTATGTTTTGAGAACACAGTATCTCCTCTCTTTCTCCTCTTCTCCCTTTCACTCCTCAGAATGACCCTAGGGCCTTGTACAAGGTAGACAGGCATTCAATCACTGAGCCTAATCCACCAGCCTGAGAATAAAATGTTCTCTAGAGAAATGTTTAAAATAATACGCCGGGCGGTGGTGGCGCACGCCTTTAATCCCAGCACTCGGGAGGCAGAGCCAGGCGGATCTCTGTGAGTTCAAGGCCAGCCTGGGCTACCAAGTGAGTTCCAGGAAAGGCGCAAAGCTACCCAGAGAAACCCTGTCTCGAAAAACCAAAAAAAAAAAAAAAAAAAAAAATAATACAAGTTTTGGGGAGTAAGAGCCTTCAAGGGACACACGTCACTTTGTTATGGCGCTGGGGTGACAGTTCCATGCACGCAGGGACGTTGTCACTCAGAAATCCTGGGAAGGCCAACCACAGCACACACTATGTCACACGCTCTTGTGCTGTCTCCTTTGGCCACTGCATGAGGTGAAGAGGAAAAGACCACGCCAGTGCAGAGCCTGGAACCAGTGCAGAGCCTGGAGTCAGTGCAGAGCCTGGAGCCAGTGCAGAGCCTGGAGCCAGTGCAGAGCCTGGAGGGGCCAACAAGCATAGGACTCAGCTGTGCTTGATGCACAGATGTGGGGGCCATGCCTCCGTTATGTGTGTACCACGGCAGCTGTTGGGTTATAATTCAATTCAGAAAGAGAAAAATGAGCTAGCTAGTGTTTGAAAGATACATGGCTCAGGCTGCAAGACTCGGTGTGTTTGAGGGGTACCCACAAGCCATGGGGACTCATCTTACTCAGGCAGGCCTGAAGCACACACAATACCCGGATGCTGCCAAGGGCAGAGGAGCTAGTGTAATCAATGACAGGTCAGCAACAGGACGTCAATTAGGGGGAGGAAAGAAGCAGAAACGAGGGTCCCTGAGCCAGCCCTGGCATGCAGAGAATGTTTTGGGGCCTTGGGTAGATGCAAGCAGGTAGGCAGTCATCTCCTAAAATCCCAGCCAGAGACAACCGACAAACAACCGGAAGAGCTTAGCCTGGCTCAGACAGTGACTGCACAGGACGCAGGAGCAACAGGAAGGACCGTCAGTCACCCAGCCTGGAAATAACAGGAGTATGGGCTCAGTCTGGGGCCCTGAGCAGCAACAATTCCCACACTCAGGAACCGTTAGCTGTTGGTTCAGACTATTGATACCAAGTCATGCACGGACATGTTCTTAAAGCCCAGCTCTGGTCTGCAGGGGTTGTTAATCTGATGCACTTTTCCAAGAAACCAAATGAGAACCCAGCTTCAGAACATGTGATGTCTGAAGGTTCTATTCTTGGCATTCAGAAGAGTAAACAGTGGCTTGGCTTTGGGACTGGAGCTAAAGGGTATTTTTTTTTTTTTAAATAGTTTCTAAGCAAAAGACAAATTGCTCTGTAGCAGATAGTAAAAAGTACTTTTGATTGTTTTATTTGAAAATGTACAGTGACAATCATCAATCATTTAAAAGATATTAATAAAATCTATGTGTTTCTCTGTGAATGTAACTTTGAAAAACAAGGTTATCTATTTATCTATTCAAGGAGACTGTCAAGAAGGGAGTGATAGAAGCCAGAACTTCGGGATTTAGAGATGAGGGCGAGATGGGGATGGAGGGCAGAATAAGAAACCCAGGAGGAAGGGAAGCAGGGAGGAGGAGGAGAGGAAGAGGGAGAGAGACGGTACACACACGGGGAGACAGTTCTGAGGGGTCCAGAGAGGACCTCAGCCTCAGGAGAGAAAGGGAGGAACAGGGAAAGAGAAGAGGAAAAGAGGGCAGCCAGAAAGACGAGAGGACGGGGGTGGGGTGGGGGATGGAGGAGAGGAGCAGGTGGAGGAGGGGAGCAGGAGGAGAGGAGTGGGGAGGAGCAGGTGGGGGGGGAGGAGAGGAGCAGGTAGTGGAGAGGAGAGGAGGGGGGAGGAGGGGGGGAGAAGAAGGGTAAGAATGAGATAGTTGGGCTTTGGCCACAAGAGAGAGAGGGAGAAACACACACACACACACACACACACACACACACACACACACACACACACACACACACACACACACACGAGACAGCTCTGAAGGAACCAGGTAAGGACCTGCAAGTGGGGTAATTGTTTTAAAGCTGATTCCTCTCAAAACTCCTATGTTCAAGCCCCAACCTCCAGCCCCTCAGAATTTGGAGACAGGACCCAGGGAAGACACTAAATTAAAATTAGGTCTCAGGTGGGGTTGAATGAGTCTCACCAGTGTCTTGAAGGAGGAAGTGTGGACTCAAAAAAAGAAGTGAAGGGGGAAGGGATGTCACCTATACACTCAGGGGAAAGCCACAGGGAATCTACCTGATCCTACTTCGGCCTAGTCCTTCCAGGTTCTACGATGGTGAGAAAATGATCGTCTCAGTTGCCTGGTCTGCAGGACTTATAGGACTTGGTCCTACCAAACCAATACATCTGTCAGCATCTCAGGGATGAAGATTTAAATGTACTCTCAAAGCTGAGTCTGGAGTTCATCCTGTCTGGGATGAGTCCATTGCAGGGTGGTGAGCACAGCATAAAAGGAGGGAAGGGGGAGAAGGATGGGAGAGGAGAGGGAGGGGGAGGGGAAGGAAAGGGGAGAAGAAGGACACCCTGGGAAAGCTCACCCCTGGCTGCATGGCCCTTCTCCTCTTAAGAGTTCTGCAATCCTCCAAAGTGGGATAACTGGTGAGGCCTGCCTGTCACCATCATACATGTGGACAGCCTACAGTCAGGTGTCTAGTCTAGTATCTTTTCCTCTCTGGGAATCTCAGGTAGCACCTGCTACAGGTGCCTAACCCAAGCCAGCCAGTGTAGCCTGGTCACTCCGTGGCTGAGGTGGCTCTGAGTGAGCTGGTCCTACATGCGCTGAGAGGATAAGGCCCAGTGCAATCTCCTCTCCTTGTGAATTTTCCTTCATCTGGCAGTAAGGGGCAGGTGTGTCTATGACTGTTAGGGAAGATGCCTGGAGGCTGAGCTACTAATTTCAGGACCAGACCACATGGGCATCATCTACTTCTCTTCTTACTACCAGGACCACAAAGTGGTATTCTCCCCTTAAGCTCCTGATGGCCATGGGATCAGCAGGACCCTCCCCTGTCCCTCCTTCTTGTGTTCCATCATCTGGGTTCTTACCTAAGACCCATTTCTCTGACAGGTACTGGATTCTTGCTTCCTTCTTGCCACAGTAGGGACCAATGATGAGGCTGGCCAGCTGAGGGGCTGGGCTGACTTGGCCACCACACAGGAGTACCAGTTCACACAGCTTGGCTCTTGGGGGGCTGCTGGCTGGTGCAATGAACATCTTTGGCTGATTGGCAAAGAGGGTTCCTTGGTATCTCCGGGTAGATAACTGGCGTTCAAGTCTGCAGACCTGTGGGCAGACAGAAGGAAGTCAGTGGAGGCAGAACTCACTCAGTATGGAGACTAGGTTAACAGTGAAGCTCACTTCTCTTTTCAAAAACAAACTCAAAGTAAGGTTGCTATATCAGTCAATTTCTGTCAATATGACAATGTATCCGAGACAAACACCATCAAGGAAGAAGGCTTTCTTCCGGCTCATGATTTGTTTCTGTGCTAAGCATGGTGGTTGGGAGACCTAGTGCAGAACGGAGCACAATTAGGGGAAAAAGCACACCCCAGTGACCAGCTTCCTCCAATTAGTCCCTACCTCCTAAAAGCCCATTCAGTCATGAACTCACGCATAGATTAATTCTGTGATGAAGCTGACATCTTCCCAATCTAATCACTTCTCAAACAGCATGGCCAGCTGGAGATGAAGACTTCAACACACCAGCCTTTGGGGTCCCACTTTAGATCTAAATCACAAAAACTATCCATTCTTGGGCAAATTTTACATTCCCAAGACTCAAGACGACGATGATGTGAAAGAACGTTTTTTTCAAAGTGGATAGGGTAAAACTCTAGGAATACAAACGTACAGGAAAAAATGGGCTGGCTTCTGAATTAGCACAATTTTAAAAACAAAGTATTAAAGAGTAACCAAGTACGTCTTTGAGTACTGTTGAAGTAACTTGGAGGACTGTGTTGGTGAGGGCAATAGCTACTGCAGGCATCGCCTTTGCCATCATTCAACTCTAGGGGCTCCAGGGCTCCTTGGCAAGTGACTAAGAGACTCTGTGACTGCTTCAGATTGACCACCAGGTGAGCTGGCAAAGGGACAGACATTCCCCAGAGAGAGCAGGTGTGTATGTGGGGGAAGGGATCCTGGAAGATGTTTCAAAGAGTCATTACAAAAACAGTTTGGAGGGTGTTTTAGACAATATTTGAGGAAAAGTGTCAGGCTGGAGAGATGGCTCAGCCATTAAAGGCTAGGCTCCCAACCAAAAATATCAGACAAAAAGTATGGCAGACAGTGGGAGGCATTTGAGAAACAGACTTGTGAACCTGTACTCTCTTGTAGTTCAATACAGTTGTGGCCATCTGCTTGATCCCAACTCCTCTGCAGCTGGCATGCTCCTAGCCAATGTGATCTAAGACTAGGTGAGATCGGGAGGATGTTTCCCTCACTATTATAACCCACAGTGCCCTTTGCACTAAATGGTCATGTCTATGTGTGACACATGCAGTTATTGAGCCCCTGGGACATGATAAAAATGGATGAACGGGAAGATGGCAAGTCTAGGATCCTGAAGAACCTAAGTCCTGACTAACCAAACTGAGATACACCCTTCTTTTTTCCTTATACTAGAAAACCAATTCTAAGTGTGTAAGTTACCTGTTTTTTTCTTTTTAACTTTTCCTTTCCAGAAATTAAAGTGTCTCAATGATCTTAATTAACTATTAAGGATTTGCTGGGTATTTATTAACCCACTCTAAAATGCTAACACAATGTACACATATACACTTACAATACAATATTTTAAAACAACAACAACAAATAATAATCATCATCGTCATCATCATCATCATCATCATCATCTAGGTTCCGTGGCACACACATGTAATCCCAACACTTTCAAGGCCAATCATCATCATCATCATCATCATCATCATCATCATCATCATCATCAAGGTTCTGTGGCACACACATGTAATCCCAACACTTTCAAGGCCAATCATCATCATCATCATCATCATCATCATCATCATCATCATCATCATCAAGGTTCTGTGGCACACACATGTAATCCCAACACTTTCAAGGCCAGCCTCGGATACACAGTGAACTTGAGCCTGCTTCTGCTATGTGTGACCTTGTCTCAAACAACAAACAAACAAAAAAAACGGGATCAAGTTCATTCTCTTACAATATTTTAAGCAGCAGGCAGCCTGTTTTTATTTCGGAAGAGGGAAATAAACCTTCAGCATCCAGCAATGTGGAGTTAGTTGCTGATTTCTTTAGTTAGGTTAATCTTTCCTCACCAAGCATGTACATTTGCCAGACTCACTTGGGGTGCTGGTGAACAGTGAGAAAGAGAGTTCCTGACTTCAGATTATAATACTAAAGTCAGCAGATTAAAATTTGTCTTTTTTTTGTTTATGTACTAGGCCTGAAACCAGAGGAGGCACAGTGTTTAAAAAAATCTGATTACTGCCAGCAGATGGTGGCGCACGCCTTTAATCCCAGCACTTCAGAGGCAGAGGCAGGCAGATCTCTGTCAGTTCCAGGCCAGCCTGGTCTACAGAGTGAGTTCCAGGACAGCCAGGGCTGTTACACAGAGAAACCCTGTCTCAAAAACAAAACCAGAAATATCTGTTATTATTCAGAACAATTGAGCCTACCCAGGCACTGACTTTCTGCTGGAAAGAGGATCTTAGTCACTCTAATCTTTACTTTGGCCAAACACTTGACAAGAAGTAATTTAAAGGAGGAAGGTTAGTTTTGTGGCTCAAAGTTCAAGGGGATCATTCCATCATGATGAGAAGACATGGCAGCCGATGGGAAAGGCTTGACGGAGTGTGGGAGGCCCGATGACATTCTACGTGTATGTACTTAAGGACAGGAAAGTGAAGGAGCAGACAGCAGTGGATACTTCTTGCTCTGAGCTCTTCAATCCACACTGCTGGTGGAGGTTAGCTTCAGTATGGCGCCAGCTGAGGCCAAACTGGACGTCAGCTTTGCTTTAGAGAATGTTGTCTCTGTGACTGTGTGTTTGTCCTAATCTGAGAGGCTACTGATTCACCAAGGTTTAGCTCAGACCCTTCAAATCTGTTTACCTAGAAGTCAGTCATGGCAGACTGTACTGTTGAAGTGGAACAGAATCTCCCAAGCTCTAGCTCCAAGGAATCCTAGCTATTTATCCATGACCAAGAAATAAAACATGGTGGGGGATGATGGTTCACTCACTGTAGCCAGGGTCCTGGATTTCAATCAGTGAGAGAGTACACTTGCTGAGTCTCTCTGACTCACTGATAGGATACACAGGCCCCTGGTGGGCCACACATTGGAGAGGAGGTACAGAGCTGCTGTGACCAAATCCTGGTGGCAGGAGACAGTATAAGGGGTCGCAGCTCCAGGAGGATGCCTGAGACCATGTGCTAGCCACAGGACAGTCAGGCTTTGAATCAAAGGGCCGGGCCCCACAGTGCTGGCCTTTCCCACCTCTGCTTCTCACCACTACCAAGTAGACAAATCCACATCCAGGTCAAGTGAACTACTGCCACATCTGAGTCCCCAGACAAGGTTTCCGAGGCCTAACAATAACATGCAGATGCTGGGGGTCAGCCTGACGACTCTTTTGAGAAGCGTGGGGACATAAGCAGGTGGCACCTTCAGTGCATCTTAGATTTCGGTATCCGGGGCACTTGCCACCTCCCTACCTGGTGAGGAGCCGGTGCTGTCAGCTCTGAGTACACTGGGGTGGGCCTCTAGAACATTCGCATGGCTGTGCAATCATAGGATAGGTGATTGGTGCCCCCTTTTCGTGGGTCAGGACTTCTGAACTCATAATGGGGTCTACTTCATTAGTAACCTGCTTTTCTCCTGTAGTTGGGGCCTGGGGTTTGATAATGTGGGTCTGCTTTCCCTCTGAAATGCACTCTGCCCATCAAGCCATTTTCTCAAGCATGCTACCAATAAGCTTGGACTTTTCAGATCCCTGCTTAGGATGGCCAGTGCCACACTCATAGAACTGGATATGAAAAATGTCAGTTTCGTGCATGTTAATTTAAAGGGTATGAATTGTACCTTTTCAGCCTTACATTTTATATGCAATTTTTTTTTTCCCTTCAAGGACAGTGTGCCTCTTCCTCTGGGAAGCCTTATCTAATGGGCTCTACCCTCAAATCCTTCCCACCTGACTTGTCTTAGAGGCAGTGGGTGCCACTGGTCATGCATGGTCATGCACACCAGCACCTAGTGTCCCAGGGATACCAGCTGGCACATGTGACCGAGGCTGGAGAGAGATGACTAGGAGTCAGGTGGAAAGGCAGGAGGCACAGAGGACATGGGATCGCTCAGCCTGCTCACAGGAGGCAGGTGCTGGAATTTTTCACTTAATAAGAAAAGTAATTTTAGGGGCTGAAGAGAGAGCTCAATGGTTAGGAGCCCTGACTGCTATTCCAGAGGACCTGGGTTCAATTCCCAGCACCCACATGGTGGCTCATAACTGTCTGTAACTCCAGTTCCAGGGGACCTGACATCCTCACACAGACATACAGGCAGGCAGAACACCAATGCACATAAAATAAAAATAAATTATTAAAAAAAAGAAAAGTAAAGCCGGGTGGTGGTGGCGCACGCCTTTAATCCCAGCACTCGGGAGGCAGAGCCAGGTGGATCTCTGTGAGTTCGAGGCCAGCCTGGGCTACCAAGTGAGTTCCAGGAAAGGCACAAAGCTACACAGGGAAACCCTGTCTCGAAAAACAAAACAAAACAAAAAAAAGTAATTTTAGTTCAAATAACTGAAGACAGGGCGCACAGATGGTTCAGTCAGTAAAGTGCTTTCTATGTGAGCACAAAGACCTGAGTTCAAGCCCCAGAACCCACATGAACAGCCAGATGTGGTGGTATGTACTTGCAATCCTAATGTTGAGGAGATGGAGACAGGCTGATCCCTGGGGCTTACTGGCCAGCAACCTACCTTACTTGGTGAATTCCAGGTCTGGGAGAGACTCTGCCTCAAATAAATCCAGTTACGGGTTGGCGAGGTGGCTCAGCAGTTAAGTGCATTGGCTGCTTGGGTAAGAGCACTGGCTGCTCTTCCGGAGCACCTGGGTTCGATTCCCAGCACCCACATGGTGGCTCACAAAATCTGGAACTTCAGTTCCAGGCGTTCTGATGCCTTTTTCTACCTTCCTCAGGTATCAGGCACACACATGGTATACCAACACACAGGCAGGCAAAACATCCAAAGTGAAAAAAAAAAAAATTAAGGTGCCCAGGCATGGAAGCACACATCTTTAATCCCA